ACTCAACTTTTTTAAATAAAGTTGATCGTCCACCATTTTAGAACTTGTCCGAGATATTGCTGATATCAACCTATATAATAGTACAAGTTTTATAAAAATCTGACAAGAATTGTACCCGTGAGATCGCTAACGAGGCCATTTTCCATATATTTAATATTTTTAAGGGGCATAACTCTTTTCAAAAAAGTAGATTTTTCACCATTTTCGAGCCGGACGGACGGACGCCCGGTTTTTCCATGTCCCCCCGCAACGCGTTACACGGTTGACAAAAAGATATTTATCATAGCGTATAAACGCAGTCTTTTAAGACAAGACTTTTAAATAGGTAGACTTTTGAGACGGACCCTTGCTATGAATGCAGTAGAACTAAAAAGCTAAAAAAATCCAGAAACCTACATCGAGTTAAAAGGCAATAAGTCTTTACCACTATATAAAAACTGTGTCAAGTCTTGATGTTTTAATATGTATGTTCTATGCATTTGTTGAAAGTTTTACCCAAATGTTTGTTAAGTTTTCTCTTTTCGAACAGAAAGTGTATGTATTAGATAAACCCTGAGGGTGTTAGACCAATTAAGTGCATTTACATCTCAAGATATTATGATTAATGTAAATTGATAGATTTCTATTTATAGGTGTAAGTTTATTTACACCAGAATGTTGTTTAATGTAATTGGATACCCTGCCTTTAACACTGATCATAAAATTGTGTAAATTAGATACACCCTCTCATGCTAATACCCTTGTGGTATATCTAATACTTAAACCCGCAACCTGCATTTTAGACAATTTCTGTATTCCAGTATTCCACTATGCAAATTAAAGGAAAATAATTTATATTTCATTTTTGGTTGCAGCAAATACAAATTTTTCGGCAAATTTTTCAACAAACTTTAACATACTCTGTTCAAATAATAAACATGATGCAACTAGACTATAATAAAAAAAAAATATCAGAATGAAATTTGGAAAAAAAAGCAGGACAGGGGTTTGAGTAATAAAAAGGCGTGATGAGACACTTTGGCCCAAAAAAAGGCAGGATGATTATTTATGGAAAAAAAAGTCAGGATAAACTAATGTAAGTCTTAAGTACACATTTTTGTTAAAGGGCCAGATGAAGCACGTCTCCGGGTGCGGAATTTTCTCGCTATGTTGAAAACCCATTGGTGGCCTTTGGCTGTTTTCTGCTCTTTGGTCGGGTTGTTGTCTCTTTGACACAATAATCCCCATATCCATTCTCAATTTTAATACAAAAAACTTAAAAAGGCAGGACCGAATAGAGTGAAAAATACAAAGGCTGCGGCTGAGGAAAGACATTACAACTAATAAAATGAAGTACAAAATTTTTCATCCTAGCCCCATAAAAATCAAATGGTGGTCCCTTATCAACCTTTAAACCCTTCCCCCATCCCCCCCCCAAAAAAAAAAATCCAGTCCCTTTTTAAACGTACATTGCTCTCACACTTGTTTTAACTAAATGTTTACCATATATATTGAAATCATTTCAACAACATGCTCCTGTCGTACTGACGTGTTTTCATTCAGCAAAGCTCTGCATGACCTGCATCTTCAAGGCTGAGACTACTGTTATAGTAGTCTCAGTTCAAGGTCACAAAAAGTTTGGCTGTGTTTGGATATACGCCTAAGGCAGCCTATGGTTACCCATAGGTATCTTTGGGTACCCATGGTTTGATATTTTGATATATAGAATATCAAACCAAAGGTACCTATGGATAACCATAGGCCACCTCTGGCGTATATCCAAACACAGCCTTTGTCTTTCTTGAACTGGTTCCCTGATTTATTTGGATAACAGACGCTTTTTCTATCGACACTGCCACTCTGACTATTTCTTGGCTCTTGTAGATCGAACTTTAACAGATTGAAGGTCAGAATGTTTGTTCCGATTCCACAGACCTGTTACCTGTTCTGTAAATTCCACCTTTTCCAGATGAACCACTTCAGTTAGGAAATCCTAAGGTAGGATATGGGGAAATCTGGATTTAGAATATTTTTTTGTCATCTGCTTGACCACAATAAAGTCAATGCTTAATAGATAGAGCAATAATTTCCCTTCTACAGTTTAATAAAACAAATTTAAAATTCAGAAATAAAGATAATTCATTGAATCAAGACTACTATAAAATATGGACCTATTCAAGTACACCTTTTAGCCAAAATTTAGGGTGTGCTTGACTGGATTGTATTTTTAAATGTTGTGTAGGACTTTTTGTAAACGATAAATGCTGGCATGGGCATAATACTTGTAAGTAAGTTAAATTTTATAATGAAAATCTGTAATAGATAAAACTAATTAAAAGTCTGTGTTTTTTTTTTTTTTACAAAAATCTAGGCTTTACTTGCACAAAATCCCTATTTTCTATTCATCTACATCACAGGTATTTGGGGCATGGACCCTCCGTATTGGGCCCACTTAAAAAAAAATCTTTTTTTTTCCGTATTTCCAATTTTCTACAATGTTAGACATATAACCTGATAACAAGTCTCAACAATCCATTATTAGTCGATTACAATACCTTTTTTTACTATCAACACAAACCCCAAGTGAAAATGTAAAAATGGCTTGTCACTTTTATTCTGTATGTATATATCTGTTTAAAATTTTTTTAATACATTGTTGGCGAGCCATCTTATGTCTTATTAATATCGGGGGTGTGGAAATGCTATGCCCGACTCGCCCGACTCGTACATTTGAACACCCGGACAAGTAATTTATTTTGTCTGAGTTGCTCGTAGACAAGTAAAATAATATGCATGACAAAGTTTAGTTCAAACAAAAATAAAGAATTATTTTCAAAACTTATAAAGATGTTTAATTTCATGTAAAAGAAAACAATGATCAGAGAGTAAAAAACATATATTTAAGTCAAAACATCAATGTTCATGACGATGAATATTAAATAACAGAAATAGATCGATTACCAAAATTAAAAAAAAAAAATAAGTATGCGAACCCGGGTCACGTAAACATTGCATTGTCTTTGTCCATTGAACTGGGATTGTCGATTAGGATATATCCATCATTTAACGGAAGTGTCATTTCTTTAGTTTTGTATCGAGTTTCTGAAAAATACTTAATAAAAATACAGGGCAATCAAGACAAAAAGAGTGACGAGTCGTGTAGAAAATGTAAAACGCAAACGGAGAAGGACAAGAAGTATGAAAAAAAAAAAATCGGAAGGGAGCATTTCAGACATCGTGGGTATCAGATTCCCCTTGGCTATCTAGGGAAGAAAATTCGGAAAATAAATTGAAATTTTGTATAATTTGTAGACAGCATCCGACCCTTGCCGATCAAAAGTCAACCTTATTTGTTGGCAAAGTGGTAGATAGAAGGGACACTTTAATTGCCCATTAACTATCAAGAAAAAGCCAAGCAGTTGAGAGAAACAAATAAAATTCAATAGTTAATCTATTATTAGTTATCATTTCTTCACTCACTGTCCTCAAAATTTAGTATATATGTACCTACTGGCTAGAATTTATAATTAAATATTGCTGCAAAATTGTCCTCTAAGTGTCATTTCATTCGGTTGGTTTGCTGTTGGGTTTCTGTCCCATTGATGTTAACCCATTACCTTCTTTTATTTGTACAAATAAACACAATGACTTTCATTTATATTGTGATGCAAAACAGTTCTAAGAATCATGCATACAAGCTAACAGTTAAATACTTCAATATTTATTGGGACTTTCAGGACAAGTAACTTTTTTTACGGACAAGTTAAATTTACAGTTTTACTTGCCCATGGACAAGTGCTCACAACATACATTTCCACACCCCTGAATATTTACATGTACTTGGGACTTTTTAAATGTTCAAAACTGTTCTATTTGCTTAAAAGTAACCTGGAGAAATTTCTAGACACCATTCATTTAAGGTCAAAAGCCTTGTGACCTTAGGGTGAAACCCTACTGGAGCCCCAGTGTATGAATGCATGTACATATCTTACCAAGGAGGTTGATCTTACATTAGAGTCGGTTGGGGTAATTCCGTACACTTTCGGTCCTAAATGAAAGTCATTTGGTTCCCTGTTTGATAAACAAGAGAAATGTAATATGTATTGTATTTACCTGCCTGTACGAAATTACCCGGATCGGATCGACTATAATCTTTATCATGTTTATAGATTAATCATTTATGCTAATTCTTTTTTTTTTTCATTAATAAAAAAATTCTGCAGATGATTAAGTATAATTTTATAAATAATATTTTTTTCCAACAAGCTATAAGAATGTTTTAAATTTTAAAAATTCACAGAATCTAAATAACAAAATTTTAACTTCGCATTATTTGTTAAAGGGAGTCCCCCAACAGTATATACTCAGTTCATCATTATGGTAGGATCACATGTCCTGTGCATGCTGTGTTTATAGTACATGTATAATAGATTTATTATGTCTCCTCTATCTGAAGTTTGGTTAAACTGCCTACTGGGAAAAACATTATTACATGATTACATTCCCAATTACATGTACTACTATTAGTCAATTATGTGTGAAAAATTTCAATTTCATGGGTTTTAATCCCCCAGTGCATGATGTGAAACATCATAAGAATTTGTAGATATAAATGAAGAGATATGAAAATTTTATCCTCAGTACTGTGTCAGGCACTTAACGACAATAAAAACATTAATTTAGGGTAATAAATATTCCTAAAGAAATGAACATTGAGAAGTTCTCATTCTGACACACATTTCAATGATCAATTAAATCATCTTTTATTAGGGAGCTAACCATTTGATTTTTATGGGTGGGCTAGGATGAAAAATTTTGTCCTGCATTCTTTTTGATGATTAAGGCATCATGATAGATAATATTTAAACTCTTTCCTTACTTGAAAAAAGCACCTGGTTCCCTAAAGAGCACCAGGGTGCAAAATTTCAGGGGGAGGGCCCCGGTGCAGAGCCTCTATATTTACTGCTCTCCTGGATACTGATTTGTAAGCATGTAAAAATAAGGCCGCTAATGCCCTCATGTATCATCAACAAAGAAAGTGACAAATGAATAATTTTATTTCCTTTTTGCAATTTCTCATTGATGTGATGTAAATTTTCTGTTAGAAAGTCACACGATTCTGTATCTATATACTAGTATGACAGTTTGCCTAAGTTTCACAAGACTGTTTTATCTTATTTTTGCAGAAATTTTTTTTTTCTAGGTGTACAACTGTGCAAGTATTGAACATCGCAGCTTGAAATGCAATGTGACCTAAAAGACAACATAATAATGGACAGATGTAAGTATTTGGTAATATAATAATAGTTAAAGATATGGGGAATGTATGAAATTGTTTGAAAAAGTCCACATATAATACACTCCTTGAAAGTAGATTTTTATCTTTTTTACTGTTCTGCTAAATGAGGGTTTGGATGACTGAGGGGGTCCTTTATGTCGATCTTTATTCTTTAAATATTATACCATTTTCCTCTCTATTTAATATTTATTTTGCCCATTCATATTATCTCTATTCACTATATCTGTGTGCCCCATTATTCAATATTCTGTATTATTTTTGCAATTGTTTCTCTATTCTTGATTTGTTTGTCCTTTATTCTGCACTTTTTTGTCAATTATTCTCTATTCTGTAAACCCCATCCATACTCTCCATTATGATATATATATTCCACTATTCCTTCCAATGAAAAGATAAAAAAAGTTTTATGTTGTCCATATTCTAAATTGTTCTCTGATAAAATAATTAGTTACATAGTGTGCTAGTGACCTAATACGGTATATATGGGGTCAGTAAATACCATATGGGGATTCGCTCGAATCCCCATATGGTATTTACTGACCCCATATATACCGTATTACGTCACTAGCACACTATGTAACGAATTTATCTTACCGACTATCTTAACATGTGGTATTTAGACTAGTGACCTATCAAAGTGAGCAAGTCTTCAATACCGTTAGCATTAAGAAACTACTTCCATTGGTCATACAAAAAAAAAATGCCAACAATAACAACTTGTTAGCTTTAAATGTGTTTTATGAATTTATTTCAATCTTCGATCATCATCAATTTGATCGTCTGTTGAAACCTTTAAGATTTTTTCTCAGTACAGTTTTGTTATAATAAAGGGACATAACACCACTACTAACCGTGAATAGAAATAAGCCCCGCTTACTAACCTAATATGGAATATACATGGTCTCCACGCGGTTGCTTTTAACCAATCATATTCCTACAAGTGTATAGGAGGTAAGATAAATATATATACTAGCATATAAAATTTGATTTCTCCATCACAAGAAATATCTTTTATGGTTTTGATCTCTATATATATATATATATGGAAAAATTGGTAAAATAGATATAAAAAAAATGAAAGAAATTAAAAAAAATGAAAGAAATGGATGGTAAGTACATTTGAATATATGATAGGAAGTTTTCACTTTGCTGGCGGTTTGTACATATATTGAAGATGTGCATGTGGTCAGGGTTTTGATTTTTATTGATATTTGCTCTTTTGCGAGACAGTTGAACTTTGTCATTTTTGGAGTATTTACTTGCATAAGAGGTGCATATAGCTTTTCAGGATCACTCCTCCTACAGTTTGAAATGAAATGGCACCTTCATCAAAAACTTCATTTTAATGAGAAATAATTCAAATTTGAAGCATACAAGTAGTGAAATAATCTTTCCCTTTTAAGTTTTCATTTGTATGATGTCGTATTTTGAAATGATGTAAAATCACTAAATCATTCATGAAATTTCACGGAATTTTATTCAAATCTTAATTATATACATTTTAGAAGGTTTTTAATGCATTATTTCTTTTTTGTTAAATATGCATTGAATAGAAACAAATTTTATGTATTTGTTTTTCAATCTCAATTTGCTGAAAATCCCGGGATCCCTGCATGCATGTGTATCGCGCATGAATAGATCACAGTGAACTGGTTACGAAAGACGTTTCGGAAACATATGGTTTATCAAGTGTAAACCAAGGGAAAAAATCTAATTCACCAATCCAATTCAAGTATTTATAGATATGCAAATCATATAAGAATTATTGCCCTTTAAATTTTACACAATTTGTTCATCATGTTTGCTTACATTTAAAAATCTTCTGCTCTGAAACAACTGGACCGAATACTTCTAAACTTTACCTGAATGTTCCTTAAGGTATCTAGTTTATAAATTGTATCCGAAGTTTTGATCCATCAACAAACATGGCTGCCATGGCTAAAACTAGAACATAGGGGTCAAATGCAGTTTTTGGCTTATATCTCAAAAACTAAAGCATTTAGAGTGAATCTGACATGGGGTAAAAATGTTCAATAGGTGAAATCTATCAGCCTTCAGCTGAACCGAACAACCCATTGTTAGGTTGCTGCCACTAAATTGGCAATTTAAAGGAAATTTTGCAGTTTTTAGTGATTATCTTGAATATTATTGCAGATAAAGATAAAAAAAGGTTCAGCGAAGTAAGATCTACAAAAACGTTTATGTGACCAAAATTGTCAATTGACCTCTTTTAAGGAGTTATTGCCCTTTAAAGACAATTTTTCACACTTTGTTCATCTAGTTTGCTTGCCTTACTTCAAAAAATCTTCTGCTTTGAAACTGCTGAATTTTTTTGAGCCAAACTAGGGCTGAATGAGTTTCACGAGTATTTAGTATATTTTTTTTATTTTATTTCCTTGCACGTCAAGAAACATAGCCACTATGGCTATAATGGAACATAGGGGTAAAATGCATTTTTTTTGCTTTTCAAGAAAATATGACAGATACAAAGAACATTTAAATGGCATTTTTAAGCCACTCATTAATAAATATTGAAAAGCAAAAATAATCATTGATGAAAGATTTTCAGCAAAATGTTACAGGTGAGCGATTAGGGCTCTTGAGAGCCTCTTGTTTTAAGATATAAATGGGAGAGCTATCTTTTTAAAGTTTGAAATTTTTTAGAGATAATTTATTGTAATATTGTCTGTCTGTTCGTCCCCTCTTACACTCTTTATACATGTACTTGGATTTCAGGATTTTATATGCAGAATAGCTTTGACAGGCTCAGCTAATTCTAAATGGTCTGGAACCCCACCTTTTTTTTTACTATCAATGCATTTGAATGGGGACATATAGTTGGAACCCCCCCTTTATCCTGGGTTAGGACCACCCAGAAGTAAATTATGTAAAAATAAAATTCCATTTTTTCCGTATTTTACTTATAAATAGACTTAGTTTTCTGCCAGGAAACAACACATTCACTCTGTGGTTAAAGTTTTTGTTGAGCCTGCGACTTTTGTCGCAGAAAGCTCGACATAGGGATAGTGATCTGGCGGCGGCAGCTACGGCGGCGGCGGCAGCGGCGTTAGCTAACTTCTTAAAAGCTTTATATTTAAGAAGGTGGAAGACCTGGATGCTTCATACTTTGTATATAGATGCCTCATGTTACGAAGTTTCCGTCAGTCACATGTCCAATGTCCTTGACCTCATTTTCATGGTTCAGTGACTACTTGAAAAAAAAGTTCAGATTTTTTGGAATGTTAAATTCTCTCTTATTATAAGTAATAGGATAACTATATTTGGTATGTGCATACCTTGCAAGGTCCTCATGCCCGTCAGACAGTTTTCACTTGACCTCGACCTCATTTCATGGATCAGTGAACAAGGTTAAGTTTTCGTGGTCAAGTCCATATCTGAGATACTATAATCAATAGGTCTACTATATTTGGTGTATGTAATGATAGTAAGGTGTACATGTCCAACTGGCAGGTGTCATCTGACCTTGACCTCATTTTCATGGTTCAGTGGTCATAGTTTAGTTTTTGTGTTTTGGTCTGTTTTTCTAATACTGTATGCAATAGGTCAACTGTATTTGGTGTATGGAAATATTTTACGATCTTCATGTCAGTCTGGCAAGTTTTATTTGACCTTGACCTCATTTTCATGGTTCATTGCTCAATGTTAAGTTTTTGTGTTTTGGTCTGTTTTTCTAATACTGTATGCAGTAGGTCAACTTTATTTGGTGTATGGAAATATTTTACGATGTACATGTCAGTCTGGCATGTTTTATTTGACCTTGACCTCATTTTCAAGGTTCATTGCTATAAATGTTAAGTTTTTGTGTTTTGGTCTGTTTTCCTAATACTGTATGCAGTAGGTCAACTATATTTGGTGTATGGAAATATTTAATGATGTACATGTCAGTCTGGCAGGTTTTATTTGACCTTGACCTCATTTTCATGGTTCATTGCTTATGTTAAGTTTTTGTGTTTTGGTCTGTTTTTCTTATACTTTAAGCAATAGGTCAACTATATTTGGTGTATGGAATGATTGTAAGGTGTATATGTCTGTCTGGCAGGTATCATCTGACCTTCACCTCATTTTTATGGTTGTTTGGTCAATGTTCAGTTTTCCTGGTTAACTTTTTTTCTTAGATACCTTAAGCAATAGGTCAACTATATTTGGAATGATTTTAATGTGTACATGTCTGTCTGGCAGGGTTCAAATGACCTTGACTTCATTTTCATGGTTCATTGGTCAATATAGAATTTCCATGGTTTGCTAGGTCTGTTTCTTTTATACTATAAGCAATAGGTCATCTATATTCTGTGTATAGAGGGATTGTATTAAAGGTGTACATGTATTTTTGGCTTGGTTTATCTGACCTTGACCTCATTTTCTTGGATCATAAATGTTAATGTGATACTTGTAGTAAAACTTTATATGTAGGACTATCAACATAAAATCAATGGTCAGTTTAGTAGGCGAGACATTTCAGCGTGTGCACTCTTGTTAAAATTTTAATAACTTAATTAATTTCTTATACTATTTTGGATTTGTACCAAAGTTGGACAGAAGCTTGTTTATGATCAAAAGCTAGTATCTAGAAGGAAATTTTGTAAAAAAATAAATCCATTTTTTCCGTATTTTACTTTTAAATGGACTTAGATTTTCTGCCAGGAAACAACATATTCACTCTGTGGTTAAAGTTTTTAAAATTTTAATAACTTAATTAATTTCTTATACTATTTTGGATTTGTACCAAACTTGGACAGAAGCTTGTTTATGATCAAATGCTATAGTATCTAGAAGGAAATTTTGTTTTCTTCCAGTTAAAAGTTTTTAAACATTTATTTGATTCATAAACTATCCTGCATTTTTACCAAACTTGGACAGAAGCTTCTTACAATCAAAAGATAGTATCAAGAGGAATATTTTTATTGATTTACTTCCTCATTTTTGTTGAGCCTGCGATTAACAGAAAAGGTAGGCGAGACACTGGGTTCCGCGGAACCCTTACAAATTTTTTCTAATACTATATGCAATAGGTCAACTATATTTGATGTATGGAAATTTTTTATGATCAACATGTCAGTCTCGCAGGTTTTATTTTACTTTGACATCATTTTTCATGGTTCATTGCTCAGTGTTAAGTTTTTGTGTTTTGGTCTGTTTTTCTTAAACTATAAAAAATACTTAGTAGGTCAACTATATTTGTTGTACGGAAGGATTGTACCTGTCTTGCATGTATCATCTGACCTAGGCCTCATTTTCATGGTTCATTGGTCAATGCTTAGTTTTCTTGGTTATAAGTCTGTTTCTTAAAAACTATAGCAATAGGTCAACTATCGATATTTGGTGAATTAAATGATTGTAAGGTGTACATGTATTTCTTATTATTGGTTAATCTGATCTTGGCCTCATTTTCTTGGATCATGTAAAGTTCATATGAAACTTGTAGTAAAGCTTTATGTTTAGGACTATCAACATATAAACAATGGTTAACACAGAAGGCAAGACATTTCAGCGTGTGCACTCTTTTTCAGATATTATAATTGGTGTATGAAATGATTGTAAGGGGTGCATGTCAGTTTGGTAGGTTTCATCCTTGACCTCTTTTTCATGGTTCAGTATTGTATGTTAAGGTTTTGTGTCTTTGTCAGTTTTTCAAATACTATAAGCAGTACCTTAACTATATTTGGTGTATGGAATGGTTGTAAGGCTTATATGACTGTCTGGTAGGTATCATCTGACTTTGACCTCTCCTTCATGGTTAATTGGTCAATTGTTCAGTTTTTGTGTTTTTGTCTGTTTTTAAAATACTTAAAGCAGTATAGGTCAACTATATTTGATGTATAGAATGATTGTAAGGTGTACATATAAAAAAGAGGATGTGGTATGATTGCCAATGAGTCAACTCTTCACAAGAGACCAAATGACAAATGAAATTAACAGCTATATATAGGTCACAGAACAGCCTTCAACAATGAGCAAAGCCCATACCGCATAGTCAGATATAAAAGGCCCCGAAATCACAAATGTAAATCAATTCAAACGAGAAAACAAAGGCCTAATTAATGTACAAAAAAAATGAACGAACAACAAACGACAACCACTGAATTACTGGTTCCTGACTTGGGACAGGCACATACATACAGAATGTGGCAGGGTTAAACATGTTAGCGGGATCATAAATTCATATATTTTAGAAAACTTAAGAAAATCTGTTATATTATAGAAATTTTATTAACATTAACAATATTAAATGTTGTACTTTAAACTATATATATTTGATTTATGCTTTTACATTAATATTTTAATTCCCGTATTGCTATGAAATTTATTATATGTTTTTTCTCATGGCAGCTCTAATATAAAAATGTATTTTTCTTTGAAGTTCATTATCTTCTTCATTTCTAAACACTTGTTTAATTATACACCTTTTTTTCTATAGCCATTATTATTACAGCTGGTCAGTGGTCATAAACCTATGAAAATGAGTCAATTATTTAACCACAGAGCACTATACCCACATGTTCTTATCCTGTGTATTTGATGAATAATTTTAAAACTAATTTTCATCAAAACTCATTAACAGGGCAAGATATGGAAATTTATTTTTCTTCTGTGGTTTTAGAATATTAAGTAACAAAATGAAAATGATATTTTGATAAACATGTTGTTGTCTTTGTATTAATTGTGCTCTCATAAACCATCAGATTAGTACCACTATGTACTGTACTGCAATAAAAAAAACATGAATCAATATCAGGGAACTTGAAGTAATTGAAAACCAATACCGTATATATAGTTGGCTATAAAAGGGCCGGACATGTACAAACTTAGGGTTCTGAAGAAATGTTCGATTGCCTATAATTGCCTACATCCACTTCATTTTAACTCTGACGGATAGTTGTTTCTGGCTGTCATTAGTCTGTAGGTTTGGTTTCAATTACTTCAAGTTCCCTGATATCAATGGATATTGATTCATGTTTTTTTTTATCGCAGTACAGTACATACTAATCTGATGGTACTAGTTCAAAACCCAAACTGCACTCTAACTTTACTTTGCCTCAACCAAGTGTTATGAAACTTATACACAATGCTTATTAACACCAAACACTGATCAAGTTTGGGTGTCGTCTCTTTCACCATTCTCATATTATGTTACTTTATTAATAAAAAAAATTGATAAATTTGAGCAGGGCTTCCAAAATTTCCTGACGTCAGCACGGACATTTTTCAAAGAAATATTTTTGACGGTCAATGATCAGCTGGATACTTAAATGTAACTGAGAGGATGCATAAATTGATATATGTGTCTAAATAATTAGTAGTGTTATATGCAATAAAATTATTTATAACTGTTTTGTTTTCTTCATTCTAAAAATAAATAAAATATTATCCTCGGTATTGTGTCATTTTTCTGTGTATCGTAATACAGTAACCATCATTGCATCAATCAGCTTCAGTACCTGACTGTTCTCATGTTTTTGTTTCTGTTTATATAATCTATCTTCTCTCTGTGAGTACTTAACACTTTGTAAATTAAGGCCATCTTATTTGAAACTGTTGATGTTGGCTTTAATTGCAGTACAACTTGATCATCAATACACGTGATACTTTTCTTTTTGTGTATTGATTACCTGACCACGTGACTTTTACAACTGATGCGGTATTTATAGATAACGTTGAGGAGGCCCAATGAAGGATATTGTTTTAAACCGTGTAAAATCTACTGAACAGTGATAACATTTTTCTTTGTACAATTTCCCAACCTGATTTAGAAAATAAGGAATAAATAAAAACATACTCAGTTGATAAATAATTTAATGAATAACAACATGATATTTTATGTAAGCATATAACAACAATAAAATATCAGAAGAGCACAATGTTGACAAACACACGCAATAAATATTACAATGAGCACATTGAAAAGAAGCACAGATCACAGCACAAGATTAGAAGTTCATTTAGTCTAATTTAAGATTTTACATTCATGAGCTTGCTAAATGCATTGTTCTGATAAACATGGCGGTTACGAACGGATTGCCATTTGCGGATAGCAGGAACAGGGTCAAAGTCTTTAACATCTACACCTACTAAGCTTATCCTCATAAGTTGATCTAAAGCGTCAATACCTAGACTACACCTTAGTTTTGTCTTGATAATGTTCTGCCTTGAAAAACCCCTTTCACATTCAACACTAGAAACCGGCAAAACACGTGAAATTTCCATTAGCGAAATTGTATTTGGGAACTGGTCTTTTCTTGAAATAATTGCAGTCAACAGATCGGCAAACGAAAGTCCCTTGTAGTTGTTGAAGATCAAATACTTAAGTATGCCCCATTCTATTTGTAGTTCTTCTTGGTTGACTATACTATAATGGTCTCCGAGACACTCTAACTGTTGTTCACCGTAGCGAGGAAGGTCGTCAACACTACTTGGAAAGTTCGACGGTTCAAATACAGAGAATGCTTCGAAAATTTTGTTGTCTGGAAATCGGTCACGAATGTTATCATGTATCAATTGGGCACATTGCACGGCTCTTGTCTTGAGATGAATGTCACGGTTGTTACGTTTAAAGGTGATAGTGTTGAAGCTGTCAGATTGGTCTGTTGATTTTAGAAATTCGGCCCATAATGGTCCAAATGAAGGAATCTCGGTTAAGTACTCGGCCTCTATTGCCATAAGAAAAGAGTCAACTAATTGTTTCACTGTGGCATAAGACAAGTCACGTTTTTGAAGTGATTTGCTGAGCTGATTAATTTTACCAAACAGGTCGGATAAAAAGTAGAGCATGAAAAAGAACTTGTATGTTGTCATACTGTTGTGAAGAGAATTAGCCACGATGTCGGTGTCACTCTGGTCGCCTAACATGTTTACAATGGAGACAACAGAACGGCGGAGATTGTCTAAAGCGTTTCCCATAGAAAGCCAGCGGACTTTATGAATATCAAGCGGATTTAACAACGGATCATCTATTATAAGTTGCCATGATCGTAGTTCGGCAAGGTTTGTGGGTGAACGTTTGTAATACGAATATACAGTGCTAACAATGCTTTCTAAAAATTTAATGTCCGGAATTTCTTTTGCCGTGTCGACACAGGCTAATGCTAGGCGGTGAGCTACGCAATGAACCTCTACTAAGTGTGGAGAAGTGTCTTTTATTATTTGAGATATATTTACAAGCAGGCCGGGACATCTGTGTTTCATTGACACATTCTTGTTTTATTTATTACATATTTTAGTGTATTAAAAGTATTTATACTGCTTCCACTTTTCAAAATTCTAACAAAGCTCTACCTCTTTAATGGATAAATAAATGATACTAGTCAAGAACTCAACAGATATTTTTTTTCAGGTTCTCTGGTCGTTCGTACTTGTTGGCCACACACATGGAGATATTGATCCTGCTTTCAGCTAATATCAGAAAAATTAAGAACAAAGGATGCTGAAACTGTGCAGTCACTGTTCAGGATTATTCCAGATGTTTCAAAAGTGAAATTATAATACAATATATGTTACTGGTTAATTCCTATGATTAGTAATTTTAAACAACACACAGAGACTTTGCATTATTGTTTTACAAGAGAGACACCAAAAGATGCAATCAACATTTATCATTTTTATCAAAATACACCCAGGACAAACCATGGATACACTTAGCTTGAAATATTGTGCTTTCTTACCAGAATTGCCTGGATGTAAAAGAAATGAAGAACCTAAATTCATGACAACAATCAGGAGATACGCAGAAGAACTAGTATAAATGGTTAAAGATGAAAGAATGCAGAATAGGGTACTGTCACATTCAGTCTTAATAAGAGTCCTGCTGCTTTATATATATGCATTTTTAGGCAGCTAAGCTGCCTTATGCGTGCACCCTAGATTTGTGTTCTACCCAATAAATGCTGAAATGCATGCCATTGTTATTATCTAGCTGGCTAGATTATGTTATTCATAACTAATTGGACATTTTTTTAATACTTTTATTTCTGGAATACAAAAAATATGACCAGAAAAACCTTAAATGATCGTCGAACTACCCAAAACTTTTGAAGTTGCACATAGGAAGTTAGTGCTCAATAGAAATCCGTACGTAGTTTATTATCCCCTGTGCTTTTGGCTACGATGTCTAAGAACAATTGTATGAAATATTTCATTGCCGAAAATCGGTAATTACAAGTCGTTTATATTTCGCAAATGGCAAAATGCACAGGAATATTGTTCATGTACAACAAATCTCTATGATAGAGGAAATATATAAAGATATATAATTAATGGGTGGTAATTTTTAACTTATCTTGCCAAATAAGGTGGTTGCTATTTTATGAATGAAACGAGGTCATGAAACAGATGCGGACATCGACATTGATGGGATGTTTTAAGTAATGTGGACAACTCGTCCCCGAGACAAGTCGGACCGAATCCACTCAAACCGTCTAAGAAGACAACTTTGACCGTTTGTCAGATTTACTTAGGGTTTCATAAAATATTAGACTAACATGTCTAGCGGAGCCATTAATCTTTTGTTTGTGCATTGGGGTCTATTTAGGGGTATTTGGAGGGGCCTGAAGAAGGGAGGGGTTTACTATAGAACCCTATGGGATATATTTTTTTTAAATTTTCAAATGACTATTTCTCGAAAACAGTAAGTGATAGACACATGCAGTCTTCAGTAATGAGAACAGGACAATAAAAAAAATCAACCAAAATATAGGGTGAGTCCCTGGGGGTCATCCCAACCCCCTTTAATTTGAAAATGTACTTTCATCTTGTAAACCGTTGCGATCCCCACCCCTAAACATTATATATACTTGTATGGGACAATAAAAGAAATTAAATGAAAATAATTTGGGGGAGTTCCCGGTGTCGTCCCACCCCCTCCTGTTTGAGAACTTGGAAATGGTTGAGATCCCCACCCCTAAACCATATATTTTCATGTATGGGACAATAAAACAAATCAAATGAAATATATGGGGAGTCCCTGGGGTCACCCCACCCCCTCCTGTTTGAGAACTTGTAAATGGTCGAGATCCCCACCCCTAAACCATATATATTCATGTATGGGACAATATAACAAATCAAATGAAATATATATGGGGAGTCACTAGGGTCACCCAACCTCTCCTGTTTGAGAACTTGGAAATGGTTGAGATCCCCACCCCTAAACCATATACGTTCGTGTATGGGACAATAAAACAAATCAAATGAAATATAGGGGGAGTCTCTGGGGACACCCACCCCCTCCTGTTTGAGAACTTGTAAACAGTCAAGATCCCCACCCCTAAACCATATATATTCATGTATGGGACAATAAAACAAATCAAATGAAATATAGGGGGAGTCCATGGGGACACCCCACCCCCTCTTGTTTGAGAACTTGTAAACAGTCAAGATCCCCACCCCTAAACCATATATATTCATGTATGGGACAATATAACAAATCAAATGAAATATTTGGGGAGTCCCTAGGGTCACCCACCCCTCCTCTTTGAGAACTTGGAAATGGTCGAGATCCCCACCCCTAAACCATATGTATTCATGTATGGGACAATATAACAAATCAAATGAAATATAGGGGGAGTCCCTGGGGTCACCCAACCCCTCCTGTTTGAGAACTTGTAAATGGTCGAGATACCTACACCTAAACCATATTTATTCCTGTTCATCATTTCAAAAAGATTTGAATGACATACAGGGTCAATCTCCTAGGTGTCACATATGCATATCACTTTACTAGACCAAACCAATATGGACTGGACTTTGCCAAATGTCAGGAGACCATAGGAATGACGAATTATGGGGGCTTTGTTTGGGAGACTTCGTAACGGCATCCTGTTACAATTATTTCTTGTTTATTATAAAATTTTATTGATGCAAAAAATGAGTCTAGGTTAATTGAATTTACTTTAATTATTTATTAAATTATTTCTGGGCCTATAATAAATTTCATTTATGGCTCATTTTAAAGAAAACATATAAGTCTTTCAAGCAGTGTAAAGCCCGAGAATATTTGACCAACTGTTTTATAATCACCTGTCATTTTATTCCAAACTTGGTATGGAGTAACATCATGCACTTGGGGTTGAAGATGGGGATCATTTACATTGATATATGAGTTGCTTTTGAAAACCTTGATGAAATATTGATTAATTTGCCTAGATAATCAATTCTTTTAATGAACATAAATGTACAATATACGAATGTTTAATGTTTGTTCTTTCAAATCTTAAAAAAAAATTGAAGCAAAACTGCCACAGTTTTATCATTACGTTTGCCTTGGTTTTTGGTTAACAGCCTACAGCGCTTACAGTGCTTTGATTTTATGCCCCGTCGTAGCGGAGGGGGCATTAAGTTTTACCCTTGTACGTCTGTACGTAATTTGATATAAGAAGATGTGGTATGAGTGCCAATGAGACAACTCTCCATCACAATTTGTAAAAAAAAACCATTATAGGTCAAAGTACGGTCTTCTACACGGAGCCTTGGCTCACACCAAACAGTTAGCTATAAAAGGCCCCAAAAATGACTAGTGTAAAACCATTCAAATGGGAAAACCAAAGGTCTAATCTATATAAAAAATGAGAAACGAGAAACACTTATGAACCACATCAACAAACCACAACTACTGATCATCAGGTTCCTGACTGAGGACAGGTGCAAACAAATGCAGCGGGTTTAAACGTTTTAATAGGTACCAACCTTCACCCTTACCCGAAACAATAGTGTAACATCACAACATAGAAAGACACAGTATAGATGGAAATTTTTTTTACAAAATAAATAATTTTGTTGTTCATAGTACGAGAAACAGAAGTAAAAATTTAAAGTCATACTAAACACTTATCAAAGCAGCTGGTATATATCAAAAATAGAGAAACATTGAATAACAAAAAACATTGCGATTGTATCAACAGGTCAACATGAAAGTACGATTTGAGAGTACTCGCAGCTACGTATACTGAAAGCTAGTTAAAAGCCAAAATTAATCAATTAATAATAAAAAAATCATGCATCAGCATGATCAGAGACTAAAATCAACTAAAACACATCCCAGGGATTTAGTATTTAATATCATGCATGGACAGTCAAAGAAGACATGACTTGTGCAATGCCAAAAATAAAAGTATCGACAGGTTGTAGGATAGTTATGTTAACCTCTATATAGAAAAAATTAACGTGGATTTGTATTTATACATCCCACTTAAAAAAAATACAAATTTAGTTATGTTTTAATTTGCTGATGACAAAATCGTTATTTGTGCTAATGTAAACTATAATCAAACATCTTAAATTACAACATTTGTAAGATAACCTTTACTAATAAGTTTGTTTAATTTAGGTTCGATGAGTTTACATGGATCACAGAGTGATTTCCGTGCTTTTAGTACAATATTACTGTAAAATTTAGGATGTGAAATACCGTTTTTTATAAGTTTTCTTCAGGTACAGCCAAATTTACTAATCAAATCTTTGTATCTATGAAAGAATTTAGTAAAAGTTTTAAGTAACTTATGGTAACGAAATCCCTGACTTAATAATTTACCAGTGTAAGTCTGTACGTCCCATTAATTGGTTTCTGTTCTCTAACTTTAGTTTGCCTCAACCAAATGTTATGAAACTTATACATTGCTTATTACCACAAACCACAAATCAAGTTTGAATTTTGGTAGCGTCACTTTTACCATTTTAGATCTAAATGGAAAAATTGCTGATTTTTTTGGTGTCCGTTCTCTAACTTTAGTTTGCCTGAACCAAATATTATGAAACTTATACACAATGCTTATTACCACAAAACAAAGATCAAGTTTGAATGTTGGTGGCCTCACTTTTACTGTTCTAGAGTTATGCTCCTTTACAAATAGAAAAATTGCCAAGTTTTTACACGCCAGTTTATGGGACGTATTATGGTATATCGTTGTCCGTCCATCCGTCTGTCGTGAACATGTCTGACAATCAAAAACGCTTGAACCAATTTACATGAAACTTTGGTGAATTAGTTATATCTGTTGACGTGTGCTCCCTTTTGTTTTTTATAAATTTTAGGCTTTGAGTTTCCAAGTTTTGGTTTTTTTTTCATTAAAAAAGGGGGAATTTCCAGTTTTCGGACAATAACTCAAAAAAAAATTCACCAATTTGCAAGAAACTTTGGTGATTTGTTTATATCTATTGACATGATCTCCCTTTCGATTTTTATAAATTCAAGATTTTACGTTTCCGAGTTATGGAGTTTTATTCATTAAAAAAGGGTGAATTTCCAGTTTTCGGACAATGACTCTAAATGCTTTCTGCAGTTTTCATGAAACTTTAGTGAATTGTTTATATCTATTGACTTAAGCTCCCTTTTGATTTTTATCAAGTTTAGGTTTTAAGTTTTGGAGTTATGTGATTGTATTCATAAAAAGGGGGGATTTTCCTGTTTTTTTTAACAATGCTTTGAGCAGTTATCATGAAACTTTGGTTACTGGTTGTATCTATTAAGATAACCTCCCTTTAGTTTTTCATGAATTTCTGATATGACATTAAGAAGTTATTGAACTTTATTCTTTGAAAAAGTGATGGGCATATATCATGCACTCATGGTGCAGCTGTTTATTCATTTTAGTTCACTATAAAGTTAAGTTTGCTTAATCAAATGTTCAACAACTTATACACAATGCATATTACATTGTACCACAAAACTCCGATCAAGTACTCATTTGGGTACTGTGTGTCACTTTTACCATTCTTGATTTATTACCCTTTAAAATGTTATATGCAAGCGGGGGCATCATCTGTGTCCCATGGACACATTCCCCATTTATTTATTCACAGAATTTTGAAAGGAATAAATAATACATGATTTTCACATAGATAAAACATATTGTTACAAGAATTTATACCTGTTTAGTACAGATGAAATGCAACTCAACAACAGAAAAAATAAATAAACAGCATAGATGCAGTTTTGACCTATATATACTTGTGTAAAAATAAGGAGATGGTACATGATTGCCAATGAGACAACTATCCACCAAAGTTTGAATAAAGTGGATGTAAGCAGTTATAGGTAACTGTACAGCCTTCTACAATGAGAAAAACCCATACTGTATAGTCGGCTATAAAAGGCCCCGAGAAATCTAACGGCCTAATTTATAACAAAACAAGTAGCGAAAATCAAATATATAACATACATATAAAACCAACGATTTCCATGGAAGTATTGGCTCCTGACTTGGGGACAGGCACATAAAGAATGTGGCAGGTTGAACAAGTTTTTGAGTGCTCAACCCTTCCCTAACCTGGGACAGTGGTGTTACAGCACAACTTAAGAACAAACTATAATAAAATGCTTCGCTGGGCGCAGCTTGATACGACCGCAGAGGTCGAACCCTGAACAGTTGGGGCAAGTATGGACACAACATTCAAGCTTGATACAGCTCTGAATTTGGATTGTGATTAAATATTTGACACAGCATAGGTTTCTGACACAGAAAGAATGTGGTCTAAGAACTTCAATTTTTTTAATTTACCTATTATGGTCCAATGTCCAAAATCAAAATACATGGTTAGAATCAGCATATCAAAGAACCTCATATATTCAATTTTTGTTGAAATCAAACAAAGTTTAATTTTGGACCCCAACTTGGACAAACTTGAAAACTGGTCCCATAATCAAAAATCTAAACACATGTTTAGATTCAGCATATCAAAGTACCAAAAGAATTCAATTTTTGTTAAAATCAAACTAAGTTTAATTTTGGACCCTTTGGACCTTAATGTAGACAAATTTAAAAAACGGGACCCTAAATTAAAAATCTAAAAACACAGTTAGATTTGGCATATCAAAGAACCCCAATAATTCAATTTTTGATGAAATCAAACAAAGTTTAATTTTGGACCCTTTTGACCTCAATATGAACCAATTTGATAGCGGGCCCACAAATAAAAAGTCTAAATACATGGTAAGATTCAGCATATCAAAGAACCCCATATATTCAATTTTTGTTGAAATCAAACAAAGTTTAATTTTGGACCCCAATTTGGACCATCTTGAAAACTGGGCCAAAAATCTAAAATCTAAATACATGTTTAGATTCAGCATATCAAAGAACCCCATATATTCAATTTTTGTTGAAATCAAACAAAGTTTAATTTTGGACCCCAACTTGGACCAACTTGAAAACTGGTCCCATAATCAAAAATCTAAACACATGTTTAGATTCAGCATATCAAAGAACCCCAAAAATTCAATTTTTGTTAAAATCAAACTAAGTTTAATTTTGGACCCTTTGGACCTTAATGTAGACCAATTTGAAAAACAGGACCCAAAATTAAAAATCTAAATACACGGTTAGATTTGGCATATCAAAGAACCCCAATAATTCAATTTTTGATGAAATCAAACAAAGTTTAATTTTGGACCCTTTTGACCTCAATATGAACCAATTTGATAGCGGGCCCACAAATAAAAAATCTAAATACTTGGTAAGATTCAGCATATCAAAGAACCCCATATATTCAATTTTTGTTGAAATCAAACAAAGTTTAATTTTGGACCCCAATTTGGACCAACTTGAAAACTGGGCCAAAAATCTAAAATCTAAATACATGTTTAGATTCAGCATATCAAAGAACCCCATATATTCAATTTTTGTTGAAATCAAACAAAGTTTAATTTTGGACCCCAACTTGGACCAACTTGAAAACTGGTCCCATAATCAAAAATCTAAACACATGTTTAGATTCAGCATATCAAAGAACCCTAAGAATTCAATTTTTGTTAAAATCGAACTAAGTTTAATTTTGGACCCTTTGGACCTTAATGTAGACAAATTTAAAAAACAGGACCCAAAATTAAAAATCTAAATACACGGTTAGATTTGGCATATCAAAGAACCCCAATAATTCAATTTTTGATGAAATCAAACAAAGTTTAATTTTGGACCCTTTGGACCTCAATGTGGACCAATTTAAAAACGGGGCCCAAAATCTAAAAACTTAATACACGGTTAGATTCAGCATATTAAAGAACCCCAAGAATTCAAGAATAAAACCCCATTGAAATTGATCAAGAAATAAGCAATTTATACGAAGTATCTTCTTTTGCACAATACTGTGCAATTGAATATTTCTTGCTATTGCGCAATACTGTACAATTGACAAGTTCTTGCTATTGCGCAATATTGTGCTATTGGATATTTCTTGCTATTGCGCAATACTGTTAAATTGAAGATTTCTTGCTATTGCGCAATACTGTGCAATTGAAGATTTCTTGCTATTGTGCAATACTGTGCAATTGAAAATTTCTTGCTATTGCACAATACTTATTATATAATAATTTACACATCCTGTTTGGTGTGTATCTCCTACCATATCATTATTATTTGCTTTTAAATATAAATCAGAAATAACCAACTTAAAATGGAAAATTTTAAAAGTAAAAAAAAGGAAAAAAAGAAAAAAAAAAAAAAAAAAATCCCCCCCCCCCAAATTTTTTGAACCCCCTTATGATTCATCACCCCCAAACTCAATCCCAGCCTTCCCTTTGTGGTATGGTACCTTGCAGTACAATTTCAGAGAGATCCATACACTTGAACACAAGTTATTGTCTGGAAACTATAAAAATGCTTATTTTTGGCCCCTTTTTGGCCCCCAATTCCTAAACGTTTCGGGCAATTACCCCCAAACTCAATTCCAGCTTTCCCTTTGTGATATGGAACCTTGTAGTACAATTTCAGAAATATCCAAACACTTACACACAAGTTATTGTCATGAAACTAGAAAAATGCTTGTTTTTTGCCCCTTTTTTGGCCCCTAATTCCTAAAATTTTGAGGCAATTACCCCCAAAATCAATTACAGCCTTCCCTTTGTGATATGGAACCTTGTGGTACAATGTCAGAGAGATCCATACACTTACACACAAGTTATTGTCTGAACGTTACAAAAATGCTTATTTTTGGCCCCTTTTTGGCCCCTAATTCCTTAACTGTTGGTACCATAACCCCCAAAATCAATCCCAACCTTCCTTTTGTGGTATTGAACCTTATGGTGAAATTTCATGGAGATCCATTCACTTAAACTAAAGTTAGAGTGCGAAAACCAATGTGTCTTCGGACGACGCCGACGTCATACCAATATACGACCAAAAAATTTTTAATTTTTGCGGTCGTATAAAAATCAGTTGAAAAGGTTTCATCATATTTTTATAGGTCAACTGTCTTGAAATGATTAACAAGTGATTGTAGAATTTAATAAACATCGCAATTGTCAATTGAAAAGCCAAAAACAAACAAACATCTACTATCAACATCAAATTCCTTAAAAACAAAAGCTTTAAGATACAACTTTAGATGACAGGAAAAGTCTTGACTTTGGATAGGCACATGGACTTGCAGTAGTTTCTGAAAACTCAATATTGCTCCCCTTTTAAATCTTGATCAGTATTTGTAAAATGAAAAAAAGTTACATAGAAGAATGCAGGTTGCCAGTAACATTCAATTGGAGAAAGGGAAAAGATTACTCAACTCTACACTGAAATAATTTTGAAAACTATTAATGGCTATACTATCTTTATTGTAAACAAATGTTGGAAAAATTATGTACCTTATGATCATGTTTTGTTTGAAACGTCACACAAGGCGTTTCACACAAGGCAATCAAAATGTTCAGAGGGGGAAATGAAGTTTTTTTATAAATGTCAAGTGTGAAAGTCTCAACCTATCAACATGATCAAAATTGTTGACCTCACTATTAATATTTACATTTAGCATGTACAGTGGAATAGAATGTTTTTGTTATCTTTTATTAAATGTTATTTTACTTTGCTCTTATAGGCAGGATTGAAAGGAAGAAAGAACTAGTCATCAGTAAAGAAACAGATCAATTTATATAACATGTAATAATTCCATCTGAATATAACAAACATTGCACATGTTATGAAGATTTGTTCACATGTCTACTCTGATTTGTACCCGTAGTTATGTATTTGTAATATTATATAGTACATGTATTTTATTTTAGAACAGTATTTTTTTTTTCCTGTGGAGAACATCAAAGAAATTTAGAAAAATATAATTAAAGATAGTTTCTTCCATTTTTTCTGTGACAAAAAAAAAATTGTGCAAATTAGGAAAATGAAATGAGGCTATATTATTAAATATTTTTGAGTTTTAGTTTTTTTTTACGTCCTATTTTAAAATTTCATTGGCATTTGAAGTAATGAGTTGAAACCAGTTTTTATCAATCATTTGTTTTTTCAAGATGTACAAACAGTACAGTAGGTTAAGTCTTTGGTGTACATTAGTTTACTATGATGTTAAGGTCAAATAAACTTGAAACTTTGTACTTACAAGTGTTCATTATGAAGTCATTTTTTTAAATAATTACAAATGAGTTACTGAACACGGAAATGTGATTGTAGACACACATCTCAATCCCATAGAGCACCGCCCTCCTCACCAGCCTCTCAGTAACCTAATGGTATATTGACTTTGAAAATTTCCTTAGTTTACACTGTAAGGTTTGTGATAAGTTCAGTTTAAGGAGAACCATTAATAGTATGTTAGGGATATTTTATTTGCAGTTGAATAAGCTTTTGGACAACGCATGTGCTTGGGGATTTTTTTTTACCTTGAACCTTCAATCATGGTCAAATAACTAAGAATCTTTTGCAAAGTTTACATGTTAAAGTTTATGCTTAGGCCAGTTTAAAATCGACCACTTATCAGAGGCGTATTTAGAGGGGGCCTGGCCCCCCCCTCTTTTGTGGGACAAATTTGTTTGATTATATATAGGGAATCACTGAAGCATGACAAAAGAGATGCAGTAGAGAGCAACCTTTATATTTCTTAGAAAATACTTTTTTCGGAACTGTAATGAAAAGTATGCTTATAAACAAAATTCATATTTTTTTTCAGTTAAAGACATATTTTTTATGAATCATAATATTTCAACAAATGTTTGAAACAAATTAACATAAAAACTCTCTAAATGTATTAAAATTCTGTATTGTAAAATCTTATCAATTTTGTTTTTTCGGGATTTTTCCCAATATATGTTTAAGAAATCTGTAGCATAATTTTTGCTTGTAGATTTTATTTCGGGATTTTTCCCGAAATGGGTAAAAAAAGTCTATGCAACAAGTGTGTGCTTGATAATAGATTTATATTTTCGGGATTTTTCCCAAAATGTGAAAAAAATTATTAGTCATGATTTCTAGCATATACTTTGGGTTTTCGGGATAAATCCCGAAATATTTGAAGACATCTGTGTTATACATTTTGTACTTAGTTTATTTTTGTCTGGATTTTTCCCGAAATGTGTTTCAGATCTATTTGTCAAAATGCTTTGCCAACATATATGTTATAAATAATAATGTTGAAAATGATTTCGGGACATTTCCCGAATAAAAAGTTGTCACATACATTTGTTGTATGTTCGTCCATTCGTTTGATGTGTTTTGTCATTTGATTTTGCCATGTGATTAGGGACTTTCCGATTGAATTTTCCTCGGAGTTCAGTATTTTTGTGATTTTACTTTATACATCTTTACCACAAATATTTTGAAACTTTAATATATTTTGGGAAATTTCCCGAAAATTAAATGTAAGTTTTATCAATTATATGAATAAAAACAGGGAATATTGTAAAACTTGTGTGTTTCTTTATGAAATCTGCATTCATTTATGGTAAACATTGAAAAATATTATAAAAAGGAATAAAATGGATTTTACTCTTTTAAAATAGAGTCAGTTCTTGATGAACTGTTGTATGATTTATTGTTCCTTAAACCTTCTGATTGATGATGACTAAGTATACATAGTTTTGGGTTTTTTTTCTATTTTTTTCTATTTTGTATTACTTTATTTCATATGAACTGCATTTCATCATAGTGTAGACGATATACATGGTTGCAGAATATATACTTTCAGAGATACCATATACTCAATTAGATATGTAAAATATATATATATTGTAAAGAATGCACACAAACATAGCCGTAAATTTGAATGTGTTCACTTTGAATAGAAATATATATAGTACGTTGATAAAAACATTGTTTTAAAATAATGAAGTATTGCTTTAAACAGATTTTTTTGAATGATATGACATTAAAATCAAAACGCTAGCTTCCAGTCTAATATATATATCATTTTGACTTATTTGTACATAAAAGGACACACTTAGATTTTGCAATGAGGTGGAAGCGTAACTTTTATTCAAGGTTTCGCTATACTTTACTATCTCTAGTAGCTGATATTCACAATAACAACGAGAAACATGTATATCTAATATAAAAACAACAATTCGCTTTTATAAATAAGAAGTAGCTACAATTGTTTTTCTGTATGTTTATTCACTAAAGAAACTAACATTATACAAAGTAATAGACATGAAAGCCAAGTTTGATCGGTAATAATTTTTCATCAACTGAAAGTTATAAAAGTCGGTTTCACAAAACATACGACTGAGGTTGATCGTATGTCATGAACAATTCGGTATAGTTACGATCAATTTGGGTCGTAAGTTTTTTTGGTGTGTGTGAAACAGACTCCATGTTTGTGCTTTTTTGCAAGAGTAGAATGTAAACTGAAAATATATTTAGGATCAGCACTTATTTCTCACGTTTCTGTTCATTATAACCTTCACTTAGTTGAATTGAAAATGGAAATACCTCTTTTGTAATCAAATGAAAATACAAATTTTATCATTTCTTAGAAACCTTCAGAAATCATAAAAAATATAGATGTAATAACAGGAGATGAGTGAAACGGATTTGCTTACCGTTCCGAAGCAATTGGTAATACCCCTTGCTTTGGTTGTGTTTGTGTTGCTCAGTCGTTAAGTTTCTTTGGGAGTATCTTATGGCTGTGATAAAGTCAAACATATAACCCGCATATACATTTTAATAAAATAGAACCGTTGGAGATTTACAACTTAACTTCCCGTAGTTCATATCATTAGGTTTTTCGTCTTGAATATACTTATGATATGAACTACGGGAAGTTAAGTTGTAAAATAATTCTTTTTAAATTAAGAAAATACTAAGTCTTTAAAAAGGTTAAAAAATATTATTTAACATCTCGTTTCACTACATATCAAATGAACTACTCTAAATTTACCATGAAGGGGTGAACAGAGCATAAAACAAGTTTGTATTTTTTCCCTAATATTAAAACGAACTAGACTTCATTCTTTCATTCACTTCTTCTGAATGATGCATGAAAACACAGTTAAAGAAATCAATTTTCGCTACCCTCTCAAAAAGGGAATTTGAAGATAATGATCAAGAAGAGAGGCAATGTTCCCTTTTAAGCATTCATGTGTTACTGCGTAGTTTCAGTTTCACCGACGATTCTAAATTTAGATTTTATTTTTCCAAATATTTTTAGTGTTTTAGTATTTTTTAGACAGAGTTTGGTGGGTTTTTTTTGTCGACTTTGTTCTTCAAATTGTTAATACTGCACTTATGTTTGATAACCCCTTAGTATCGTCTAACATTTTATAAGAATATGAAATATTTGCTAAAAATAACAATTACATTCATATAATTACGTAATTCACAGCTGTGGGTTAAAATAAAATAAAAAAGAATATCAATTGTTCAATGATTTGTTGTCACCTGTTATGCTATTGTTTGAATAAAAAAAACTACGGTTTCTCAAAGTTCATAAAAACAAATGTTGTCGGGTCATTACTGGTTTAATTTTAACAAATCTGGTACCAATAAAGCAGGATAGACACAGGGTTGGTTTTTTATTTGATTATATTTTAAGAATTGTTCATATTTTCTGATGATATGAACGATTTTTTCTACCCTCTCGACAGGCGAGTCTGAAACCTGTGACAGAGGTTAAACTAACAACACAATACTCATATTTCTTGTTGGCGTCATTTTGATCATGTCATTGAGTTTTGATATAAAACAAGCATACTTGTTTGGACTCATATTAAACCGCAAGAAGTCATTTCTGGTTTGTATGCCTTTTTTTCCTTTCGTGTAGTAAGGAAAATAACTCGCGTCACTAATGATTCACGTTTGTTTCCAGAATTCTGCTAGAGGCATGCAATTACGTATACTTCGTCTTAATGAATATTATCACTGTTGGTCGCAGGTTGCCGTTTCTCATATTTGTTTTTCACTTATTGATTTTTCAAGATTCAGGACGTTGATTTTCTGTTTTGAATTACGTCACATTTCGTCATTTCAAGCCTATAGCTAACTATATGGAATAGGTTTTACTCATTGTTGAAGACGTACAGTGAATTATAATTGTCTTCATCTACGTCATTTTTACTTTGGAAGATAGTTGTATTTTTGGCGATCGTATCTTTATTTTATATATGATTATTTTAAACCTTTGACGGGTACCAGGACCATACACAACAAAATACTAAAAGTATGAAATGGCCTTTATCTGTACTAACTTTAACTAGGCCCGTCTGAATTGGTCTGAATTGGTCTCGTCATTACTCGACCCCAGTCTTAAACACTCTACTGTACTGATTTGTACTTGACCCGAATTTTTGTCATTGGAAATAGTCTCAACTAGTACTCGACCAGTCTGAAACAGTCTTAATCCATTCTCAACCTGTACTCATCCTATTTCATTTCGGTCTTAACTATACTCGACCAATTTGAACCATACTTGACCAAATAACCTCTACCTTTTAACTGTTAAAAAAATTCTTTTTAACTGAAATGACAACAGCCACAATAAAATAAAGATAAATAAAAAAAAACAATTTTTACATCATACATGATTCTCAGATTTATCAAATAGAGATAGTAATATAATAATTTAATTATATTAATTTTTAAGTTTGAGAGTCTTGTTTAAAAAAGAATTTCCTTTCACCTGAAAACTATACCTATACTGTGGGTAATAAAACCTTCTGAAGGTGCTTCTTGTTTTGGCATGTGTTTGTTTTTTAACTTAGTTTTCCTAAATTCCTAGAAGAAGGGGAAGGGGGGACTCATTAAAAAGATCACACCTGATCAGAGAGTAATACATTTTAAATAATAGTCATTCAAAATTGCAGTATCCTGTTTTACTTTAATTGCAAGGCCTTTTGAATAAGAAATACACGGGTTTAAGAAAATAGGACTTTCTTATGTTTCTTTTTACCTGTAAAATACACATGTCCTGAGGTAATTAAACCTTATTAAAGACCTTCTTATGTTTTGTCTTTAATTTTGACAAACACTTATTTTAATTTAATTGAAATCAATTTTCACTTCATTTTCGGGACCCATTTTCTTTTTTTTTTTTTTTTTTTGGTTATCAATGATTGCTTTGGAAGTTCTATTATCATGATTATCTTAAAATCTTAGTTCAAAACATAGGTGTCATTTTGTAAATTTATTAAGTTG